TCCATCAAAATGGCTTGAACTGCCAAAATCTGATTTCACTGGGGTTTTTTTACCTCTAGTGCAGACTGTTTAATGCACAGAGGTGGTAAAAAATACACCTACAATTGCTGCAAATAATGTATAACGTTCAAAAGCTGATTGCTGATTCTCACGTACACAGCCACAGAAAAAAAGCATGCACTGATTTTCTTAGCCATAACTACAGCATAATAAAAAAATAGTTGCATTTATTTTTCTATTCACATACTCAAAACAGCGACAAAACAATTTCGGCTTTGGCCACTCAGGGACTGAGTTTCGGACCCCCCAAACTTCATCTAGTGAATAAGTGTCTAACTATGTAAACGGTTAAAAGGCCAGTAAAGGCCAGCAGGACTGACAGTCTGACTGCATAATGAGCTTTACTGTATTCTGAAGCAGAGGATGGGCTCTTTGATCAGGGCTCTGTTTCCTCTCTGCCGAGAAGGCCCTTTGTTTTGGGGACTGAATGATGGGCGCTGACAGGTTTGATAGGCATTTTGACAGCTTTCGTATCGCTGCTGAATGTCTAAGTGGTAGCAGGAGCAAAAAGGCAAGACCTGCACACACACAAAAACCAACAGATATGCACAGTAATGGAGAGCTAATTGTTGCTGCAGAGCCGAATCTGTCCGTTTATGAGTGGGTGGGCGGCCACACTGACCGAGAACGAGAAGAAAAGAGAAAATGGAAGAGTGTTTCAGTAAAAAAGTGAGCAAAAGGGGAGAGAGAATACTTTTGAACGTTGAATGACTGTTCAGCCCTCTACTATGGAGCTTTCAGGCCGGTTCCCAGAGGAGAAAAAAGCAAAACCCTTCCAAACAAACACACTTGGACTGAATTCATAAGCAAACAGAACTCACCACCTACATATAACTGCGTGTTTCTGAACTACTGAGCCTTTGACGCGGTCTCTCTCTCCCTCAACCTTGCTTTTCCTTTCCATATCCTAACTCACATCCCGCATTCACTTTCATATTTCACTCCCCCTCTTTCCCCGTTCTCAGAGAGCAGACATAATAAATTCCCACGCCAAGCCATCTACTCAGAAATGAGAGGTCGAAAGGGGAGCCACTTCCCTTTGTTTTTGAGGAGGTAATTAAGTCTCGAAGGGGGCCGGGGGTTACTTTGCAAGGTTTTAAAAACGTGCTTTTGTGTTGTTCTGCAGCCTTCTCAAATGCTAAAGCTTGATAAAAATGATGTCATGTCCCTGTCCTATGATAGTATGTGTTAGTGTATGTCTTAAAGCAACGGTTCACCAAAAAATACTCCCTCGTTTAAATCTAAACCAGGGGTGTTCAAAGTCGGTCCTGGAGAGTTTAGCTCCAATTTGCCTCATCACAACTGCCAGGAAGTTTCTAGTATGCCTGGAAAGAGCTTGATTGGCTGGTTCAGACGATTTAATTGGGGTTGGACCTAAACTCTGCAGGACAGTTACCCTTCAAGGAGCAGGATTGGACACCCCTGTTCTAAACTCAATTTTTTCAGTGGAACATAAGATGAGAAATTTCATTTACATTATTCTTATAATGATTCTCATTACACGGTGAACAAAATTGTCACATAACCAAAATGTGCTTCATGCTAATTTAAGGTGCAGTGTGTAGATTTTAGCAGCATCTAGCGGTTCGGATGTGAGTTGCACTAATGCCTCAGCCCACTGCTCACCCCTCCCTTTCGAAGAAGCTACGGTTGCTAAAACGGGACAAACATATCGTCGTCTGAGACAGCAGAGAATACCCAGAGTAAGCCAAGTTTCTGTACCACAGTCCATTATAAACCACATCATGGATACAGTTTACAAAGCCATAGTCAGGTGAGGATCAAGGGTCTTAATATATAATATAATAATAGTAATCAGCTGATTGTCTCACGAACGTAACCAGCACATTTCTCCCCACATAGCAAACCCATAATACAGCGAGGGAGAAGAACCACATGAAACTATCCAACTACATATTTTTCTAACAGGGTAGTAAAAGTTTAGCTGGCTAATATGAGCTGTTATGCTGTAGGCCTGTGGCTGAGCTGGTTAAAGCGTAAAGCATTGTTTAAACTCGACGCGTCCCATGAGCGCAAAGGTGCGCGCGGCAAAAATAACGTGATTGTAACAGTGCGCACACCTCAGCATCCCCTAGACACCATTTACTACACACAAATTAATAAATAATAATGAATGAAAATAGTTTTTTTTCTCTGGTTTTGAAAACTCTTCGCGATCGACTTAAAATGCTTCCAAGATCGACTTGTCGACCGCGATCGACGGGTTGGTGACTCCTGTTACTGTTTTACGGTCAATAGTACTAATCAGCTGATTGTCAAAGCCATAACACAGCGAGGGAGAATAACTAAGTTACATGAAACAATCCAACTACATATTTTACACCACTGACAAGGGAAAAGTCACTACTCACGGTGTCTATGGCTAGCTTCTAGCTTTCTGCGGCTTCTCTTTCAAGGTATGAACGAAACGCGCTCTGTAGCGCTGTTTGTTCGCTGTCGGCTACGGTAGAAACATGACGTCACAATATGTCGACCTTCATAAAAGGGGGTGTAGATATAAATGTCTCATTCTAAGGTAATAAAAACATAATGGTTCATTGAGTAAGGTCTTTATACACCACTGAACACATAGTTATGGATCTTATATTGCATTTCTGTCAATAGTTCCTCAGAAATATTACACATTGCACCTTTAAAGGGGTCATATAATGCCATTTTTATACAAGCTAATATGATTCTTTAGGGTCTAAATTAAAAGTTTGTAATATACTTTAATTAAAAATTCTCATTAGTATTGTAAGAAAACACTTATTTTACCTGGTCAAAAACAGCTCTGTTTTCAGCACGCCGTTTCAGTGCATATGACTTTAAATGATAATGAGCTTTGCTCACTCCGCCCCTCTGTTCTGTGCATACACCGTTTGTAACACAATAACACAATAACCATAACGCGTTGTTCATTATAAACGTGGAATTATGAATTATATTGAGAACGTCATACATAGAAAACATGCCGTAATGTACCAATGACTTCATTGTGAAGCGTGCAGCTAGCGATTTGCAAAGATTAATATATTAATATAAAGTTTAATAAAACATTTCACTCACTTCCGTTCTTCTGGAGGTTCAGCAGGAACATGAATATCTGGTACCGATCCTTTTTAGCAAAGCTTCTTAGCAAATCCAGCTTTATACTGACCCTCCTTATAAAGCAGTCTGGTGTGTGAAATGATTCGCGCAAACATGAAAGCATTGACGTTCGGAGCATTCGGATTCAGGAACATTAAAATGACTGTGTTCGTTATTACACCCAAGAACAGAACACCACAATCGCTTAGACGCCATTCTGCTCATAGACAGTGCTCCGGCACATCAACAATGACAGTGCCGGTCCGGTCCGCGCCGCGCAGACTATGATTGACAGCTACCTCATGTGCGAGGGCGGGTCTGTGTTGAAACGCTCCCGTCAATCAACAATCGTGGGAGGGGCGTCCGTTTTATTGACGTCACAAAAACGAACGGCTCGATTTGAGGCAGGGCAAAACATATAAGGAGATTAAAACAAAACCACTGGATGGATTTTTATCATTATATGATGTTTGTGTACAGGCACTGCCAACACACATTTCAGTACAATCAACTTGTAAAAGTGCATGTACCATTATATGACCCCTATAAGTAAAACAATGAACAATGTAATGTGATAATATCAAGGAATTTTCCATCTTGATTTTTCTTCTGTTTTGTCTGTATTTTGAATTATGCATTGTGTTGTAATTTAACTATTTGTAAGCTTAATCCTGGCAGAAAATTACTTTTTTTGCCATGGATTGTTTTTTCCTTACAGTGTAAGGTAACATCTAAATTAACAGATTTGATTCAATAATATCTTTGATTCAAAGATATTATTATTTTCAAATATATAATATTTTATTAGGACATTAAAGCAATAGTTAATAGTTGGACCCCATTGACTTCCATAGTAGGAAAAAGATATACCGACATTCTTCAAAATATCTTCTTTTGTGTTCAGCAGAAGAGAGAAATACATACAGGTTTGAAAAAACTTGAGGGTGAATAAATGACAGAATCTTCATTTTTAAGTGAATAATCCTTTAAAGGTCTGATCCAGTAGAAATAGCTTAGTTTTTTTATTAATCAAATGCAGTACTACAACTGTAAATAATAATAATAATAATAATAATAATATATATATATATATATATATATATATTTGATTTAATAACATTTTAAATTTTACAATGTTGAAATATTATGTCATAACATTTATTAAATTTAATTAATATTTTTAAACATTTTTTACATTATAGCAATGAGAAAGGATTCAGTTTATATAATAATATTTAGATTTTAGGCGGAAACATTGAATGTGCTGAAAGGAAAGAAAACAGAAATTCCCTGGACTGGCAAGCTTCAAAAAGGACCAAAAACCATCATAAAAGTGCTAAAAGATCCATCACTGCTCTCAAATCTATAATTTGTGCATTCGCATATTCAAACTTTGCATGTCAAGACTCAAGTTTGACGTCAATGACGACCGACACTTTTGGTTTTTGCTTCTTCTAATCAAACCACATTTAAATACGCAAAATGCAAATGAGATTTGAGAGCTATGGCAAATAAAAAAACAACTTGATAAAATTTTTAGAAGCTATATTGTATGGTTTCAAAGGATGGCACATGATGTACCACTGAAAAAATTTGGTGTAAAAACATGTTTTGCTTAGAAATTGCCAGTAACTCAAAAGTTATTACGAAGAAACTGCAAGTAAAATTAGAAACATTGAAATATTTACTTTTTTTTTTTGAGGGGTGAGGAGTGGCCACTATATGCTTTCAAAAAGAACAGCTATATTCTTTAAAATGTCTCTCAATGCTCCATAAAAGAAAAGCATATAGATTTGGAACAACATGAGGGTGAGCAAATCCTCATGTGTGGCTGAACTTTTCTTTTACAGGTGGAAGCAGTGAAGGATATGCTTTACCAGTTAGAGGAGACCTATCTGAAGAAGAAGGCACTGAGAGCCACCAGACAGCAAAAGGCTAAAGAGAAGAAAGCCCTAAAAAAGACGTCTCCCAGGAGTCCCGCCGCACCACCCCAGGGTGAACCAAATGCAGTGGCCCGACCCTCAGCCCAGTCATCCAATAAGTGAGAACCTTCCGCCACCCCACAGACACTTATCTTCTGCCAGGAAGTGGGACACTCCACCAGGCCATTACTCCACCCTGACGGAAATAAATGAGCTTTGCGGGCGAACCATCATTCAGATCCGTCTTTTCTCAAACCATCCCACATTCGTTTTACGACTCTAGAAAACCCCTTCCCCACACCTCCCCCTTCCTGGGTATCTACATTGGGTTGACATGAATAAAATAGCATCTTTTTTCAAGCATATGTAGCAATGAAAGGGGTCTGTTTCACTTATGTAACTATTCATATAGAATATGGATGAATCTCATGAACACATTCAATAGGAAAAAGTAAGAAATCACTGTACATTGTCAAAAGAAAATGAAGCCTGTTTTTAGTTCCACTCATATATTTTTCTTTGACAATTAAGCTCATTTTCCACTTAAATTGTCATTACCATAATGCGTTTGACATTTTACTTTTGATTTGATTAAAATCATTCTTAGATTTCTCAATTCTGATCACTGTAAAAATATGTTGTCTAAAAATGCCCCTCATGTTTTAACGTTTAAATAACTGATTTTGAAGTCAAATATATTATTTAAAATGACTTACACCAGTAAAGGTTAATTTAAAATAACTTTTTTTGTTGTTAAAGAATTATTATAAAGTTAAAATGATTTTTTTTGCGAACAATTGTTTTTTTTAAATTAAATAATTAGTCACAAAAAGAAACAGCATTGAATATGACAATACCGTACAATCCCCACCAAATTATTATAAAATTATAATATTGTTTTTAATATATAAAATATTTTTAAATAAGCATTAGTTAAAGGCAGTACAACAAATATTATCATGATGTTTAAACACTTTACAGTATTTACAAATAATATATTGCTTGTTTTAAATGTAATAATGACGATGATAATATGTTTGTTTTCATTTTAAATATATACTTCTATTATTAAAAAAATTATATAATGTTTTCATTACAGTAATGAGAACAGGCTTTGTTTTCTTTGCGAAAAATATCATTCATCAATATTAAATCCTTTTTGATTTTAGTCTGAAATGTGACCCAGACATTCTCAAGCACTACAAATGCACCACAAGCTGAACCAGTAAAAGCAAACCCAGCATGCCAAGACAGAAAACACATCACTGAAGCATGACTGTATTATTGTTTGCAGGGGAGTTAATGATCTGAATTCACAGGTTACAGTCGGAGGCGGAGGAGGATTGATCAGGCGCTTCAAAACACAAGGAGTAAACACGCACACACACACACCAAAGGCTCCGTCACTCACGTGCTGGGTGAAGATTGATCGCTCGCACGCACACAACAGGGATCCTGCGGGAATAGGGAAGGGGGGCGTTTTCAGCCATATTGACAACTGCGGAGATCTCTATACACACACACACACACAGTGCTGATTCATTTAAGTCCTTGAGCTTTGCAACATACAGTACCCGCAATCTCCATTAGCCAGGACCAATTATAGACCGTCCCAAACAATAGTGCTTAGCCCTGAGTTTCTGATGGGCCCGTCCGGTGTCTTTAGGCAATTAGGAGCCTTTGGTCGAGTCCGCCCGGCCCCTCCAGTGTTAGGGTCAGCAATTAGTGCGTATTCATTTCAATACATTAAAGGCGTTCATCGAGTGGAGCGAGAAGGAAAGACATTTGCATTGCACACTATCGGCATGTTGTAGAGATTAATTACCGCCACGTGTTTTCTAAATGGTAAACAGTTATTGTAATCCACTCTTGCATGTAAAACGAAGAGGAATTCACTGCACGGCAACAGCACTATAAAGAGAATATGTGATGCTGTTTTTGTTGGTGGTTTAGATTGTATAATGATGTTTCTGAACGCTATGCATTTTGATAAAGCGCGATAAACGCGCGCTGATCCAGTTTCCACACGCGTAAGCAGCTCGGGTGTTACATCATTATATTCTACAGGAGTGATTGAAGTATTTCCGTCCACAGCTTGAGAGGAAAGGTTTTAAATTAAAAGGAGATGAGAGAGTTTTGCTCTCCTCTGTTCTGCTACGAAATAACCGGCGCTCTGTGGTTCACATGATAAGCTATTAGTTTTCTATAACTAGAACGCTGTCCAATTTTATACAGGAAAACCACTGATGTGGGTCTCAACACACAACGGTGCTGTAAAAACCATTTTCTAGGTTTTATGTTTAGTGTTTACATTAGTTGTATTAAAGTATAACATTAAGCTAATGTCTTTAGGTGCAGAATTTAGTCTTAATTTAATAAAGGCAGCAGCTATACACTCACCTAAAGGATTATTAGGAACACCTGTTCAATTTCTCATTAATGCAATTATCTAATCAACCAATCACATGGCAGTTGCTTCAATGCATTTAGGGGTGTTGTCCTGGTCAAGACAATCTCCTGAACTCCAAACTGAATGTCAGAATGGGAAAGAAAGGTGATTTAAGCAATTTTGAGCGTGGCATGGTTGTTGGTGCCAGACGGGCCGGTCTGAGTATTTCACAATCTGCTCAGTTACTGGGATTTTCATGCACAACCATTTCTAGGGTTTACAAAGAATGGTGTGAAAAGGGAAAAACATCCAGTATGCGGCAGTCCTGTGGGCGAAAATGCCTTGTTGATGCTAGAGGTCAGAGGAGAATGGGCCGACTGATTCAAGCTGATAGAAGAGCAACTTTGACTGAAATAACCACTCGTTACAACCGAGGTATGCAGCAAAGCATTTGTGAAGCCACAACACGCACAACCTTGAGGCGGATGGGCTACAGCAGCAGAAGACCTCACCGGGTACCACTCATCTCCACTATAAATATGAAAAAGAGGCTACAATTTGCAAGAGCTCACCAGAATTGGACAGTTGAAGACTGGAAAAATGTTGCCTGGTCTGATGAGTCTCGAATTCTGTTGAGACATTCAGATGGTAGAGTCAGAATTTGGCGCAAACAGAATGAGAACATGGATCCATCATGCCTTGTTACCACTGTGCAGGCTGGTGGTGGTGGTGTAATGGTGTGGGGGATGTTTTCTTGGCACACTTTAGGCCCCTTAGTGGCAATTGGGCATATTTTAAATGCCACGGCCTACCTGAGCATTGTTTCTGACCATGTCCATCCCTTTATGGCCACCATGTACCCATCCTCTGATGGCTACTTCCAGCAGGATAATGCACCATGTCACAAAGCTTGAATCATTTCAAATTGGTTTCTTGAACATGACAATGAGTTCCCTGTACTAAAATGGCCCCCACAGTCATCAGATCTCAACCCAATAGAGCATCTTTGGGATGTGGTGGAACGGGAGCTTCGTGCCCTGGATGTGCATCCCACAAATCTCCATCAACTGCAAGATGCTGTCCTATCAATATGGGCCAACATTTCTAAAGAATGCTTTCAGCACCTTGTTGAATCAATGCCACGTAGAATTAAGGCAGTTCTGAAGGCGAAAGGGGGTCAAACACAGTATTAGTATGGTGTTCCTAAAAATCATTTAGGTGAGTGTATGTCTAAATAGCAACAAAAAGTATTTTCTTTCCACTAAGTGCAAATAGCGCAAAATGCTATTTATTTTTCTTTGCATTAGTTAGATGCTATTCATACTTAGTGGACATAGTGGCAGATTCAGCTTCAAGATTAAAAAAAATTCAGACGCATTCAATTCATCAAAAGGGACAGTAAAGGCATTTGAAATGTTACAAAATATTTATATTTCAAATAAATGCCGTTCTTTTGAACTTTAATTCATCAAAGAATCCTGAAAAACGTATTGTGGTTTCCACAAAATATTAAAGTGATGTGATTTTTTTTTTTTTTTAATTTTTTTTTTTTAAATCACTTGAAATCCTATTCCTAACTCACTTACAGCCACTGAGTTAGAAGCACTGAAATGAAAAATAAGCAATTTAATCATCTGCGGAACGGGCAGGACTCGAAAAACTCCAGCCAATCATTTCCAAGACCACCTAGAATCATTGGACAGAAAATGCGACAAACAAACGGTCGTACCATACCCCATCCCCCTCGCGCGCGTGTCCCCTTCGTGCGCATACTCAAAGCTCGTGACCCAGTCACAGTAAGTGCAAGTCGCCCCGGTACAGAGAGAGAGAAAGTGCAATCTCACGCATCTGAGTTTTGCAGATGCATGATCGCACGTCCATGTTCTTCGAATGGGTGGAGTCAGGGCCAGCGTAGGAGGTAGGACCTTTTGAGTTGTGTATTTTCAAAATCTGCCGGCCGTTTTGCAAATCCCATACCCTACCTTTAAGCAGCACATTGATAATAATAAGAAATGATTCTTGAGCACCAAATCAGCATATTAGAAGAATGATTTCTGAAGGATCATGTGACACTGAAGACTGGAGTAATGATGCTTAAAATTCAGCTTTGCCTTCACAGGAATAAATTACATTTTAAAATATATTAAAATAGAGAGCAGTTATTTTAAATTGTGACAATATTTCACAGTAATGTTGGTCAAATAAATGAAGCCTTGGTGAGCATAAAAGACTTATTATACCGATTCCAGATTTTGTTAAAGCTGCAGTCCGTATCTTTTCCTCTTTGTCGCCATCTCTCTGTTCGAAATCTGTAACTGCAGTGATTCGCGGAATTATCATCTTTACGTGGGTTGTAAATCGGCATGAAACAGCGCGGATGAACACAGTGCTTTGAGGCGAGGCGAGTGCTGCTGTCAGTCACCGCGCTGTGTGGATACTGTCATACAGAATCACAGATTCACTTTTTGAAAGTTTGACCAACATAAGAATTTTCATAAGAAAATGTCTTCTGAACAAGTAAGTAAAATCCATTTTTGTTCTGACCAACTAAGGGGGAAAAAGCATTCGACATGATAAGCTTCGTTAGATTTAATCAACGCGATTTACAGCAACCGTGCAAATTATAGCCTACTTTGTTCTCAAATTGTTCATGTTAACAACATCAGCATTGCGTGACTAATGTTAAATTTAATGTGTTTTATGGTTACCTGTGTAGTTCAGAATTCATATTCTC